ATATATTTTTTTTTTAATTTTTTATGATATCTTCAAATTTATATTTTATTCAAAAATAAAATTATTATTGTTTTCTTAAAAACACATAAAATCGTATTATAATATCAACATATACAAATAATAAAATAAAACATTAAAATCGAGATGTGTCTCACTCCATTACGCGAATAGTCTTCTAGTTTACTCTAATTTCAATGTTTGTTTGTTTAAACGTTTTAGAGTAAATAACAATTTTCATCCCTTTGGTTTGTTTAATTTATTTTTTCTTCCTTGTGGTTTATAAATTATAGTTTTCATCTCTATGGTTTGTGATTTCTTGTTATTTTTATTCTTATAATTTACAATTTATTGTTGTTTTCGATTCTTTATGGTTTATAATTTTTTACTGTTTTAGTCTCTTGTACTTAAAGATAGGAATCAGTTACGAAACGAAGATAGCAACAAATTACAAACTATAAGAATAAAAATAACACTTTCTAAACTATAGGGACAAAAATTGAAAATATTAACAAACCACATGAAAATCGAAATCTACTCCTTTCTTTTAATAATTCGAAATTGTAATCTTAACAAGAGTAAACTACAGTTTTGGTCCCTGTGCTTTGTCAATTATAACGATTTTTGTCCTTACAGTTTTATATTATAAATTAACCCTCATAATTTATAAAAACCTTCGGATTTGATCCCTCACTCTATCGATCGTTATCTTTTAGCCGTAAAATGAGGTGTAGGTAGCCAAAGGCCGTTTCAGGTTTTGTCGTCCTTCGACAGATTAGCGCCCTACCCATCGTCCTCAGTCCTCACTGATCGCTGCTCTCAAGCCCTCCGCTTCTCAGCATCCACGATTGGATTTTCTCCGGCGACTTTTCAAAAATATTCTCCGAAATACTCCGATTGGTGTCTGACGACCACTACCTGCTTCTGGATCAAATTTCCCTTCAAAATTCTCTAAAAATGAATGAAGAAGGGAAGGGTAAGGCCGTCGCTTTTTCTGGAGATCAACAGCCGCAGACTACCACCGATGTTCCTCAACTGATGCCGCCGCTCGTCACGAACGCCAATCTTCAAACCCTTCCAGGTATGTACTTTAAGTATGATTAGTAGCATTTAGTTGCCATAATCTTTAGGGCCTGGAATAGCTTCAGTCCCCTGTCATCATATGCGATAGCTTAATAATGTACCCGATAAATATTATAAATCCGTACCACTTCCATTCTGAAGCAAAAACAGAAGGTTCTGAAAGCAGTGAGTTAGGTAAATACTCCATTCGCTTGTGTGTGTAGATTTATTCTCACATGTGATGATTCTCTTGTTGTTCGCTTGAAGAGTTCTATATAATAACTGTTCCAACTTCCAAGCCATTTATCTCAAAAGATTCCAATTCTTAATCGGATACATATTCCTACATCAGATCAGTGGTCGTGTGCATACAGTGTTTAGCAAAATGATTTGGTTTTTTTGTTGCACTTGCCGTGCATCTATTTATGGTTTATGAATGATTGGGAAGATTTGCTTTAATTGGGGACACTCGTGTAAGAAACACGGTCTGGTAAAAGTCAGTTAATACCAAGAATTTTATAATACTTAATTCAATGATTATTTGCAAATTGAAGGGGTAGGATGTTTAACTCCTAGGTAACCAATTAAGCAGCCTTAAATAACTCAAGTGGTGCTGTGGATGCGTAACTCCTAGGCTGTCACATAAGCTGCCCTAAATCAGAGACTTTTAAAACACTGAGTAGGATATATGACTTGCAAGTTACGAATTTGTGGTGGTATCTTAACTGAACAGCATATTAGGCATTTTAGGGGATTGCATAGACTCGATGAATAAGCACAGATTTCTGCCCATGTTTCGTCAGAGTAGCTCTATGATAAGAGGTAGTTTGTTTAAGTGTAAATAGCAATTCAAGAATCAGCAATTCTTACCACTCAATAGCTGGGGAGGAAACTCAATACATAGCTCTGACCATCATGCCATACTTTAAGTTTGAAATGTCTATTCTGTAGGTAAGGTTGTCAAGCCAGCAAGTCTATCTGAAGGGTCTTAAACCCTAAAATATTTACCACCCACCAAGAGCAAAGTCAAACCATTGTATTTTTTTCTCTTATATTTCTCTGTTTTCAAGTCTATCTCTGTTTCTGAATCTGCCGAATGAATATCAACAGCAGAACCTTGAGGATATTCATACGATCATATCAGAAGAAGACTTCTCAATGAAGGAGAAAAAGTGAATGGTGGAGGAGGAGTAGAGGCGATGGCGGGCATTCTCTGTCTCTCTCTCTCTCTCTCTCCCCTCTCCCTCTCCCTCTCCCTCTCAGTAATATGTGGCAATGTTTCTAGCTCTTGTCACTCTTCTTATCTTCCTCTCTTCCCAATTCATGTATGGCAGATTTGGGTTAACATTGTGGGATCTGACACACACCCTCCCATTCAATTCACCTATTTGAGAAGTGTAGAATTCTTTGTTTACTTCACTTGTCTCAAAAGAGTGAAGTACAAAGGCTATATATACACAAAGAATATGAGAAGAAAAGGAAAGGATTCCTCAGATATTCACAGCAGCAAATTACAAGGAGAGATTACCCATAATCTTCAATTCCTATTTTACAATGATATCGAGTATCTTACCCCGCAGGCTGGAGCATAGATGTTAATCATGCACAGCTTGTTACAAATAAAAGAGATTCACAAACCAGGTAATGCTTTGGTAAAGACATCAACAAGTTGTCTTCTTGTTCGAACAAAGGGAGTTGAGATGATTCCATCTTCTAGCTTTTCACGAGTGAAATGGCAGTCAACCTCGATGTTTTTTGTTCTTTCATGAAACACGGGATTGTTTGCAATGTGGATAGCCGCCTTATTATCACAATATAGGTTCATTGGTTTAGATTGAGCAAACCCAATTTCACCTAGCAGATTACGCAACCATATCAGCTCGCAAGTGGTTTGGGCCATAGCCCTGTATTCAGATTCAACACTTGACCGGGAAACGACATTTTGTTTCTTGCTTTTCCATGAAACTAGATCCCTCCAACCAATACACAGTAGCCTGTCGTAGACTGTCTAGTAGTAGGACCCCCATTATAGTCGGCATCTGTGAACCTTCTATGGCATGATGATCGTGATTTTGATAAAGGATACCAAGACTAGGAGCACCCTTAGGTACTTCGAGTATATGCCTAACAGCGTCCCGATGTGGAGTTCTCGAATATGAAATAAACTGACTTACTACACTCACTGGAAAAGCGATGTTAGGTAGTTTAGCTTTCCCACGGTTCTTCTGTACTTTTCTGGATCCTCAAGTAGATCTCCATCGTCCGCTTTCAATTTCATATTTGGAATTATTGGGCCTTACAAGGTTTTGTTTCAATCATACCAGAGTCATTTTATATATCCAAACAATATTTCCGTTGAGACAAACATATCCCTTTCCGAGTACGAGATACTTCAACTCCCAAGAAGTATTTTAAAGGACCTAGGTCCTTTGTTTGAAACCGAGATGCAAGGAAATCTTTTAGCTTCTTGATCTCAGTCTCATCACTCCCGGTAATCACAATGTTCATTAACGTATACCACTAGTAGAATATATCCGGAAGATGACGAAGTAAAGAACACAAAATGATCATAAGAGGTCATCCGTAAGCCAAACTCAGTCACTACAACATGAATAATTTATAGGGTCTAGGCTAGTCTTCAATCTAACATTTTTTTGCTGTCTGTTTTTGCATGATGTCTTTTTCATATGCTTCCATGTCTGTTCAAGTGAGTTGATTTGGTTAAAATTTGTTCCGTGATTCCAGAAAAGAATGCTAGAGTTGATGCTGTATGGCAGCAGATGAAAAAGGGAATTTCCACAGAGAAGCTGAATTCCATTATTAAGAAGTCTACCTCAAATTTAAAAGGAACTTCATCTAAGCCTTCTTCAAAATCATCTTCTTCTGTAAGTGTTCCTATACATTATTTGTATTGAAACATCTCAACTTAACATATTCACTTATTCATCTTTATTAGAGTTGGATGACAGTTCTTGGGCTTGGACCAAAGAAGAGTTTACCTGTCCAATCCATACCAAGTTTAAAGCCAGATGATAGAAGAGACAGTGTTGGTGAAGAGGCTTTAAAGGTTGCAGCTGCTGCCCTTTCTGCTGTCAAGGAAGCAGCATCCATGGCTGCTGTTTCAGGAAGGGGGAAAATTGAGGTAAATTCATTGTATGACATTCAGTTGCTTTTGCAACTTCTTGTTTTTATCTTTGTGGGGGCTTTATCCAAACTCGTAGGAGTGTCATACTCTTCTGTATTCCTTTCTTCGTCTTGACTGAAATCTATATCACATCGTTTCACTTCAGAGATGCGCTTTGCTCATTAATTTGTTGTTATAGTTGTATGTCCTGGCATTTGGACACAAAAATGTGTTCTATATGGTAAATTTGTACACATTTTTTCTTAATTCTTTCAGGGAGGTTCAATGTCGTGCATATTGGCAACAGGGTTGAACAGTAAAAAGTGAAAAATGTCACACCTTAGGCTTATAGTGCAAGAAGTCATATCATACTGTCTGTCATACCTATTAAGAACAATTCTCTAATCATCATCTCACAGAAGTCCACAAGTGTTATATATGAGTTTTTTTTCCTTGAGGAGGTTAATTCTTGAGCTTGAAGGTTACATGCTGTATTAGTGTTACCTTATATGCTTAACCCCCTCTGCACCATGATTGATGTGTTCTTCTTCACCAGTTGGGTCTTGACATAATCCCCACATGTAAAAGCAAAATAGGGATGAAAATATGGAAGAAATGGATACATGAATTCATGATTTGAACAAATCATAGTTGTTTGCCTGGTGTTTCTTTCTTCTCTTCATTAATTCGTCAGTCTTCTCCATCACTATGAAATTTGTTTGCATGGCATTTCTTTCTTCTTTCTTCTTTCTTCTTTCTTCTTTCTTCTTTCTTCTTTCTTCTTTCTTCTCAGAGATGATCATTATTTTTCTCTCTTCTTTTGTAATAATGTTTAGCACTTTTGTTTGTGATTTTGTCTAAATGTTCTAGACATTGATAGTCTGCTTGTTACCACTCGATGAGTTCCCCAAGTTTTTTTTATTAATCTACTTCTGGATTGACAGTGTCATAGGGACGAAAGTCGGCCTTAGTTCCGACAGTGCCGAGTGGAAGGGCCCATGCTCTAGGACAATCAAGTTTTCCATTGAATTGTAGGACCCTCTTATATTCTATGGCATTCTTGAGTCTTGTAAAAGATTCCTTAATCTATCATTTCTAGGAGGGGTTAAACTGCCTATAAAAGAGGGATACCTCCTGATTTTGCATCCATCGAGTTTGCAGGAATAACATGTAGCAATATAGTTCCAAGTCCTCCACTCTTGTTTTGCGAGTGTTCTCCATGGTTATCTAGGTTCTCTTTTGTAAAGCTATTTTTAGCTCATTTTGCATTCATGTGTTGAGTTAGGTAATTGAGCTGTGATCTAGATGATGAGCTATGATTTTTGCAGGTGAGAGAAGTGAGGGACTTTGCAGGGGAATCCATTGAAGTAAAGAAGCTAGTTGATGCCAATATGAAAGAAGCATCCGAAAAAGAAAAAGGCGCAGGAGGGGGTAGTGCAGTTGATGCGATTCTTGAGCAAATTAGGAAAAAACCAAAACTAAGTGTCCTTGATAAGACGAAGAAGGACTGGGGGGAGTTTAAGGAAGAAAACCGGTTGGATGAGGAGCTGGAAACTTACAAGAAGAGTGGAAATCAGTATCTAGATAAAGTTTCCTTCTTGCAGCGTGCAGATTATCGTGAATTTGAGAGGGAGAGAGATGCACGCCTAGCTGTGCAGGCAAAGAGGAAGTCCGATATGCGAGAAGACTGACTGATAAATACCAAACGTTATTCTAAATCTTTTTCATTTTGCTGTTGGGATTGAAGGGATCTGGTAGCTCGGCTCTGGCTTTGGCTTCTGAAACAGAGGACTTATCCGGCTGGCGCTATAAAATGTTTTATAGTTCCATTTATGTTTCTAGAGAGGTTAAAACAAAGCAGATATTGTTTGACATATTTCCAACCACCCATCAGCCTTGGAAGAGCAAGAAAATGTTTCCTCTGCGCTTTGTTCTTGTCTTTTTGGTTTCATATTTGTGTAGCATGCTGTTTTATCTATCTAGCAGGTCAGGGATGATTGGAATAATTGCTAAAGACGGCCTATGAAGGTTGCATTGTGGCGGTTAATGTAAGGGAAGACGGGCTGGTCCTAACAAGACAACAGACCATTAGGTAAATCAAATCTACGATAACTTGTAACTCATGCAATATATATTGTAGCTTTTGCTGAATTTGGCGTCTTCATATTTGTTGAAACTATTGACCAGTCCCAGTACAATTGCCACTATCTGCTCACTTGCATCCAAGATCTTTGTGTACTGTCAAAAAGAGGTGGTATTTTTTTTTAAAGTATATAATATTTATATAAATCAAATACTCATGCATAGTCCCCACTTTTGGTAAGGTTTTAACCCTTAGACCTCTAGAGAGACTAGGATTAACCAATAACCCGGATATTGTTGGGCCAATGACCCTTTGGTAAAAGAACAGGTGGTATTACTAGCTTTATACCGTCATCGCTGTCGGATACAACCCCATTCTCCTCTCCTCCATGAATATCTCTTCGCTTACCAGCAAATTATGGACAGCTGCCATTTCTTGATATCAAGTTCATCAAGAGTCTTGGCTTGCCATTTCCAGGTCATAATGCTTGCTGTTCCTGGTTAACTCCAACCGTAAATGGATATAGTTATCAGAAGAAAAACTGGGACCACCCTTCTTGAAACAACCAGCTGTTTACCTGTCTCGATGTGCTTCTCATTGATTCTGGTGGCCGGAACAGGTGTCCGCAGCTTCTTTCTCTGCCTTCCTTCTCTATTCAAACCTCCTTTCTCCTTGACGTTTTACCAAGAATGTTCGATGTTCTTGGACTCATGAAGGTGAGGTACGATACAAGATAGGTAAATCAAATGGTGGCAGGCAATGTCCCAGGATCAACTTTTGGTTGATTTCGAAATACTTTTTTCGTTTTTTGGTTGATTTCAAGGAGTCAGCATCATCCGAGTGTGGAATTGATCTCATATCAGTTGTTGATTATAGATATCTGCAGTGGTTCGTGTCAATTGATGTCTCTTGTTTCATTCGGGAGGCAACAACTAACACTAACCAATGCAGATGTCTTTAGGCAATCAATATGAGGATTGGTTCCAAATTGCCGTTTTTATCATTGTACTTTTGATGGATCCTTTGCTACATTTTCTGCAAATATCTTACCTTCCATGTTTCAGGAGAAGATGAAATAACGGGTACGGGTTCAAATAGGTTCAAATGCATATCAAATCTGTATCTGTCACCGTAACCACCATCTCCGCTGGACCAACAATCACGACCACCATCTCCGCTAGACCATCAATCATGATAACCATCGTAACCACTGCCTCCCCCATCCACCAAACCCACAGTCATGTCCATAACCATCTTCAGCATCGGCGTCCCCGTAGTTTTTGCCGATCGGTTGCACTTTTAAGATGGATCACAGGAACGCAAAGTTGTCCGATGTGTTTTTAACTGAATTCCACCGTTTCAAAGGGATTTTTTAATTTTTTGTTGTTTTTGGTTCTTTTGATTGATTTCAAGACTTTTTGGTTGATTTCAAGTGACTTTATTTTTTGGTTGATGTTCTTTATATTTCCTAATATTCTAAGACCATCCACGTGGGGCTTGCAAAGCTCTTTCAAAAGAAATTGCAAATGACTACCTCATCTGGGGCTTGCAAAGCTCTTTCAAAAGAAATTGCAAATGACTACCTCATCAAAGTCTTGTCTGATACTTGCAAATTTTGTAATTTTTGTTGCAATGTCACCTAGACACCAACAAACTTTTTTAATACATAAAATTAATTATTCTTATTTAAAAAAGTATGTTTGTATATATATATATATATATATTATTTTTAAATAAAATATAAATACAATCATAATAAATATGTTTAATTAATATAATTAAATTAATTTAAATATTAAATTTTATCATAAATGAATTGCAGGGATGTAGATACCACTTTTAAAAGCGTATGTAAATTGTACGTGTATCTATACTATCTTATTAAGCAAATTCATCAAAAGTCTTAAAGTCTTAAAATTCTAAATGACCAAGATACCCTTTTCACTTTTTCACCCCTCTTCTCATCACATACACTCACCCCCTCATATGCATTTATCTCTCACATTCAACGGATATTTTTTAAAATTAT